GTTTTTGGCTTCTTAATTTTGTTGCAAAAAGATTGTTATATTATCACTATTGTCACCATAGTCTAATTATTAGCCTACAATCATCATCCCCATTCTTTCTACCAGAATAAGTTTTCCTGGATGGCTCGTGTACACTATGACCCGGGTGTACGTGAAATAACGCAGTACACTATTCGGACAACAGTAGGGGATTGTCTCCCGGTGTACTGCCCAATCACCATCAGAAGATCTACCCCACTGGAAATAAGTCTTCTTAATTTTTGGGGGTTATCCTTGGTGTTTACATTGAATACATCCCATAATTTGTGTTTGTCACCGGCCCATGGTTTCCTCTTAACATGGTAGGCTAGATGTGTTGATTTTTTACCGGACAGAAGAGGCACTCCAACATCACTGGCGCATGGTAACAACCAACTGACTTCAGACCATTTCCAGTCACACATTACTCTCCATAACACAGCACCCCCTAGTTCCGTCACCTCTGGATTTTAGCTTTTTTGCAAAGTCAACGTCGCGATCATGAGAAACGTGGCGCGAACAGTTACGAACAAATTTATGTCATAAAAATTTCGCCGCGGTTAGAGATACGGTACCGTATCGGAACTTCCGATTGCTAAAGGTACGGTAAATGATATTACGTCATGATTAGCCAATAGAAACGCCGATACATGCGCGACGTCATTCAGTGCACTGCTGCTGCAAGAGTAGTGAGTGTGTGTTTTATGGTTTTAGCACTGCGATCAAAGATAAGAAATTTCGTTCGTTTGCGGGTGTTGTTGACAAGCTGTGATTAATATTCTGTAGCCCGAGGCCCTGTAGCAAATAAAAAGAATAGCAGTTTTGCTAAATTTGGCGACATCAAGCGACTGAGTAAACTATATTAATAGTAGAAGCCAGGCATAGCCTTAGCTACCCTTGCTACTTTACTGTGCATAATTCCCTGTAGTATACACACTGTCCTATGCACTACAAATAAAGTTTACTCTCACTGATAATTACAATCGCCATGTTGCTTGGTTGGCTATTTCAATCAGCAATACTCTATAAGCTTAGGCTAGGCTCCCAGAAGTAGCACTTACAGCTCTAAGCCTAGCCTATTAGTAGTACTGTACACATAAGCATAGGCCCCTAGGCGGGTATTCGGCCTAAGTAGACCATTCTCTATGGTAGACCATAAAATACGCAAGAATAACAGAAAAGGACTTTTAACCCAAACATTGTGATAAGCCCCAATCGAAGTACATGAAATGGGCCTATTATGACTTGAATTTGATCGTAACTGTTCGCGCCCGTTTCTCATCGCGACGTCGACTTTGCAAAAAAGCAAAATAGAGTCGGTCATTTCTATTGGTTAACCATCATGACGTAATATCATTTACCGTACCTTTAGCAATTGGAAGTTCCGATACGGTACCGTATCTCTAGCCACGGCGAAAAAACCCTAATGAAAGTCCAATGCTTTAACTTTATGAGCCTAGATTTCAAAAGGCCGGGTGGCAACGGACCTATGGTGGCAACGGATGGGTAACAAAAAGCCAGGTGGCAAAAGCCTGGATGGCAATTGGCCGGTAGCAAAGGCCGGTTGGCAAAGGCAGGGAGGCAAAAGGCCAGGTGACAAAAGGCCGGTTGGCAACGGACCAGGAGTCATGCATGTGATTGATGCTTTACAATCTTTGGAAAGATTGTTAACACTGCAAGAATCTGAAAAGGATTGAAAGCGCGAAGTTAACTCAAAGTAAATCAGTTTGTATTTACGCAAAACTACCAGTGTGTAGTACCAGACTGTGTTCAAAAATCAATATAAATATTGTTGTGATCCAACGGCCTTGTAATATGACATCATCATGCTCAAATTGGACACATCAAACACATTTGTAACATAAAACTGATAATGTGAACGGAAGCACTAGGGCTATAAAAGGCTACATCAGCGTCTGTTCCTGAGCAAACTGAATGCATTAAACATTAATCGAACCTTACCTATACCTACCAGACCCAGAGCCAATGCAGCTGTTTTATTAGGTCTACTGTACAATGCACGCTTATATTTTAATTGTATACAATTAAATTGTAGACATACAAGTCTCTTTGCTAATTTAAGATCTAAACAATTTATGATGGGTAGAATCGTTCAATATTTAAATCGGATGTTGGGACTCATCCACTTGACAACATCCATTTTATGTGACAAATTTGTGTGCATTATACCCCCAAATATGGGTGGATCACATTTATTTGTCACACGAAATTTCGTAGTGTGGACAGAGCGTTATAGATTAAGAGTGTTATGGCATATAATGTGTGTTCTCATTCATGATAAAGTTGTTAACATTGCTCTATTTTAATTTTTTGACCTCTCATATTTTGTGTTATTTCCACTTTAAGTCAGGTAGTGCAAAACATCACACCTATGATATTTTCCTTACGCAAACTCACATCGAAATAGCATGCAGTACACGCTGCTACTTGGGGATAGGATTCAACACTAGTCACTAAGTCCAAGTTTTGTAGCCGGGTAGCTTATGGCGAAAGGCTAGTTATCTGGAGGTCGTGAGTTCGATTCTCACCCAAATCACACGCGATTTTTTTCGCGATGAATTGGGAACGTACTGATTATTCGTTACAAAAACATGTCAGGTAGGGCAAAACATTACTCCATGATATTTTCCTGACACGAACTCACATCGAAATAGCATTTGCAGTACACGCTGCTACTTGGGGATAAGCACAAGCTCGGTAGTCTAATGGTTATGGTGCCAGGCCTGTAATCTGGAGGTATAGTGGGTTCGATTCCCACCCGAATCAATTGCAATTTTTTTCGCGAGTATTTGGGAACGTTGAGTCTTCAGTACAAAAACACGTCAGGTAGGGCAAAACATCACTCCTAAAATTATCCTTTCTTTGCGGGAATAAATTATCCTAAGTCTAAAAGCATTAAAATTACCAACCTAGCTATTCAATAATCCCATAGATATCAGTGGATCTTCTTCCTCAACGGGGACCCATAATAAGGAAACCTAATGACTACAAATAAAATTCCAGAACTGACCTTAAAAATGTAATAGGCCTATAATGTGTTTTATCGAAGAAATGAGACCGACACATTTATACCCATTAGCTCAAGTCTGAAATATATAAAAATTTTAACCTAGATATTTGATGTCAGTTACTTCTCCCTCAATGGGCACCGAGAAGGAAACACTATCATTACACAATGTACAATCAAATTACAGTATTCGACTTTAGAACTACATATATTGTGTGTTTTATTGAGGTTATCAGACCGGCATAAATGGTGAATTTCAATTGATATTCGATTGTGTTAAACTGGTAATTGACTTCATTAACATTTTATCGAACTTTTGTACATTATACTGGTGATAAGTGTGCAACATACGATATTCTCATAAAAATGAGCGTGGGTTTATAAAAGAGTACCTAGTACGTCCCACTCTAATCACTCTTTCTCGAGTATAAGTTCACTCTTAAACAAATTGGTTATTAATCAAATTTTACTATTCTCACTCTTTTTATTTAAGGAGTACCATAATGTTTTAAATCACTAAATCACTTCAGGCTTGTGTACCCTGTTTTAAAAATAAGTACGTATTCATAATATTATACGGCCATTTTAAATACGAAGGTACCGGTACTTACGGTATATACTGTACTTCCATATTAACAATTGGAGTAGGCCTATAGGAGGTAGAGAGAAAATGTGGACCCACTAGGAGCAGAGCTATAAATAGTAACCCAGGACTGCTGAACACACTTTAAATGAAAACAACAACAACAACAAAAAAAAAATCCACTAGCATTATTTGAATATTTAGGTTGATATTGTGAATAGTAATCTACTACCTTATCTATTCAAATATTTATATGATATATTTATTCATCTTATCAATTAAGTAAAGCGTAGTCTGAGCAAGCTCTTATTACATTTTTGTAGACTTCTAAGGTATTCTTGAAAAAAAATTAATTCAATTTATATAACGCCTTACGCAGAAAATACTGGGCATCTCAACATTAGCTTAATACTATCACCCATTGGTCTAATAATTCATTACCTAAAGCTTGGTAAAATCGCACACTTTCGCCGACAGCTTTCGGTGATTCCCGATTGCGTCGGATTGCACTGAAAACACTGTGGTGACAGTGTAGCAATTTTAAGGAAACCAGGCTAAAGCGTAGAATACAATAATTGTTGACTATTAAAGAAGGGAATATCAAAAGAGCAAAATATTTGATATACAAATCTCACTCCGTTTATACACCGGGGTGAAGGGAAACAAACGTATGCAAAGTATCTTGCCCAAGAGACACCAGCAAAATTCACAGCGTACGTTCGAATCCTGACCCTATAGGGCTGAGAATCAAACCACAGCCACTGCTGTACCAATCGATTTTCTTTCACTTCTGTTATTTTTTTATTTTATTTTATTTGCTTTTTTTTTTTTTTTGTTAATAAAGAATTGTTAAAGGTACAAAAATGGATAATAGCAGAAAACAATTTAAAAACAAGGTTGAGTCACCCACACTATCCTCGTTTTGCTTTAAAAAATTAGTTCAAACTAATAAATCTAAAACCAGGGCCAAAAAATGATGTTACATTTTATCCTGAATTTGTCGTCTTAATGGGTAGGCCTATTCTACAATATATTAATTATGTTGGTAAGTAATCATTCACGTAGTTAGCCTAAATAAGCAATGATCTGTTAGCTCTTTCTTGTGCAAAAGAGACTCGGACTCGAAAATCTGTAACCGACCGTGGCTTCTTCAAACGGGCGTGTTTAAAATAAACATTTGTATTATGTGTACCCATTCAAAACTTTTGAGTGCAAATATGCTTGCCTGACTTAAACCAAACAAATTATCTTTGTCTTTCAAATGACTAACTGTCTAAAACTTCGTTTGCATGAATTTTAGCCTAGACCTACCGTAGGCTAGGCCTGAGCCTATTTAACTATAATTTAAAAAACAAGAAGTTTATTCATTACCTCGCTCTCTGTATTCTTCAGCGTCCATCGTGATTTTTACTTTTCTCTTGTATTAGCTTTTGATTACACTGCATTCACGAGGTTCAACAGCAATCATCAAGTGGTTTGACGATGACAAAAATATGAATGCACGTTCCGGTTTTTATATTGACATCTTAAAATAAACACACCGTAGATGGCGCTGTCTATTAACGCTTGAGCAAATCCAAGAAAACCAGAACACGATCATCTTGTACAACAGGTTTGATGACGTCAGCTTCAGATAACCACGGAACTAATGCATAAAGCATTTAACGCGTTGATGGCAAATCAATATTTCGCTATAAATAAACAATTGGAGTACTTGATCGAACTCAAGATGCTCACCTAATTGTGTTTCTTTCCTCAATAATACACGATTCAATTTCAAAACATATTGTATTTCCGCTGGACAATGTTTGAAGTAGTTATTACTGTATAATGAACATATTTTCGGCTTTTAATGTTCACTCTACAAAATGAATACCGTAGAAAGTCGTTCAATATTTAGTGATTGAGAACCTCAACACCGTGGGTGTTTTTCGAAGCAAATGATTCAACGCTCTCTTTTCACTATTTTCTTTCTTCAATCAAATAGTCCTTTAGTGCAGTGTATAAAGGAAAATGACAACATTATAACTAACATTGCATTACGTTATATGTGGTCTATCATATATTAATTCGTTCTAATAAATTATAAATAGATATGATATTAAATTATATATAATTATATATACAGTATATGTAAATATATATCAGTACTTTATTTAGACAAAATTGTGTTCCAATCAAAGGCCATATGTGTATGTATATTTTTAAATAGATTTGTAGCTGATCAGTGTAAGATATGATATTTGCTTTGGGCTTACACTTTATGTTGAATAACATGAAGTATATACTTATTAACATTCAACATGATGGATTGATGAATCGTTCGGTGGCCTAGAATAGCACCTGTGTTGCGGCTATCAACCGGAAGCAAACCTGTTAAATAATACTATTACTCGGAAGCTGGACATCTCGCCGACAAAGTCTAAAATCTAAAGTATCGATCTCAGGCACAGATTGAATATGATATTCTGACGCTTGAATTTTGCACCAATTACATATTTTACATCTGCAGTCTGTTGCTAATTCTAACAACCTTAAATTGTCGTCATAACTTTTAATGCTAAGTCTATTATATTTGTGATCGGAAAATTCCTATAAATACTCTATTATGCTATTTATATCATGTTCAATATAATGTCCGTTTAAGTTACTATAAATATAGGCCTATACTCATTTAATTTATAATACTCTAAGATTTGTTTACAGGGCTTTCTACAAACGTATAATTATTATTATTACAGGATTTTTTTATGTATATCATTATCATTATAGCTAGCTACTGTATTATTATCATTAATGCTATCACTGTATTAAAATTGTCATTGTAAGTTTTTTTGTTTCGAAAGTTGGATTCACCAGCGTGTCAGCGCCGTCAGCACGTGGTCTAGTTGAAGAAAAAAAAATCATGAACAATTTATTTTACCATTTCGCTATTACTCTGCATTATTCAAACCAAAGAAAATATGCATTTGGTCATTGATAAGGCATAATAAGCTAGTATTTTTTTTATTATTCATATTCATAATACATACATATTAATTTAGGCCTACAAAGGCAAGAGAACAATTTAACAGAAATCATAATAATGATCCACTAACTTTTATCATTGCAAACCTTGGGGCTTGTCTGGTCCCCTCTGTTAATGCAATGTCTTCATGAGTCAAATAGGTAAGAATAATGTCCTGTAGGTCATACGTTTTCAAAAAGTTTTTAAATTTGACATTTTGGAAGAGGAAAAACACCAGTGTTGACCCCCATGACCGATGCGGGGTTTGGAGGAAAAATTAAAACCCTGACCGTTAGTCGGTAAATACAGTAGAAAGGAACACTACATGTACAGTCCTAGAGAGCCATCATCCGGGTATCTAGGCGTACATACTTAAAATTTGCTCACCTCAGCTTCAACCGTGGTTGTGCATCCCACGTCGAGAAACTTAAATCCTCATCGGGGAGGAAAGTCGCTGGCGCCGCCACTGGTAGGCCCTAAGTATCCCTCCAATTGGTTAAATGGTGGTGGTGGGGGGAGGGGGAGCTTCTGCTCTTTGGCCTGAGCAATAATAAACTGCTTCCTCCTACGGGCCTGCGTAATGTTAGAAATACAGTGTTTAGATCATTGATTTACAAAACATGCTCCATTGATTTACACAATTGCTTTTGCTTTTAGGTACAGAATTTGAAAGCAGTTTCATATTCCTTTATTTGTTAACTTAGGCCTATAAATATTTAGGAAAACTACTGAAATGAAACAGCAAAAGTGTTAACAGGTATATAGGAATAAATATTGTGTTTATTATTTTCCTTAGAAACGTTTTTCTTTGCATCTCACAGTACGCAAAGAAGTTATGGGATCCATACTTTTACTGGGTCTCCTGACTGAATTTTGTCATGATGGCTTTGTTGTTTTTGGGGTCACTTGTCCTAATAAATAAATGAAATAAAGCTCAAATTATACGGCTGCACATTGAGAAGTTCCCCTTTACGAATAGAATACATGAACACAGATTAGACAAGATAGACAAATTTGCAGGCTTGAGACTTTTGCTCATCAAAATTCATATAAGCATGAAATGACACATGGTATTACAAGAGAAACAATGATTAAAATGGGTTGAGCCACTATGAATTTTGGTCAAAGTTGGGAGATTTTTATTTTTAAATATTAAATGAATCAAAAATTTGATTAAACTTTCTTTAAAGTTTCCTTCAGATCATCAGTTGATCTGTTTTTGAAATATTTGGACTGGACGTTTTCCTTTGAACTGAAGCGATATTTAGGTTTGGGACCTCAAAAAATTAAATTACCCTCAAATTTACACCCTTAACTGGATCGTTCCCAACACATAATAATTTCTTCGCTGACCGTTGCAGTTGCAGTTGCAGTTGCAGTTGCAGTGCTAGTGGTAGAGGTGTTAGTAGTGGTGGTGGTGGTGGTGGTGGTGGTGGTGGTAGTGGTAGTGGTGGTGGTAGTGGTAGTGGTAGTGGTAGTGGTAGTAGTAGTAGTAGTAGTAGTAGTAGTAGTAGTAGTAGTAGTAGTAGTAGTAGTAGTAGTATTAGTAGAGTACCACCATTGTGATGGTAAAAATGTAGGAATAGTCTTTAAGTTTTATGGCGCTGTTATTGTGAAAACATACTTCGTTGAATTTGAACTCTGGTAAAGATAGTATGGTTTCGCTGGTTGTTAATAATATTTTATCAAGTTGTGTATAATGATATGATTTGATTATTTATTATATCGCAGATATCATGGTAATATCATACAATAGTCGAGAGGCCTAATAGTGTGTAATAGTTTAAACGCGCAAATCATTTTTATTTAAAACAGGAACTTATGGTGCTAAGAGCATTGACTTGAATAACCGCGCAATATATATATTTTAATGGGTAAATTATAACAATATCGCTTTAATTGTTATAGACTACATATTGTAATGGGGGAAGGGTGTACTTTAACAGCGAGAGCATAAGTGGTCGGGTCAGGGTCGCCCAAACTTCGGCGGAAGGCATTCAGGGGTGAAGGCCCCAGAGTTTTCAACGATAGAACATGAAATCAATATTTTGACTATTTTGTAGGGAAACTAAAATTATAAAGAATATGTCATCGTTGTATGGCTGTGCGCTAAAAACTCCTTATTTAGTGTTCAATTTTCACATTTGCAGGTAGTGCTTTATTAATATGTTTCCTATGAGGAGTTAATCAATTTCTTCAATTGACATTACTGTTTATTAACCAAGAGATTGATTTCATATTTTCCTCCTTTTTTCTGTGTAATTTCATATAGGATTCTAATTAATACAGTGACATCTTACTCATTACTTATTTATTTTAAACCACATCTGGTACATCAATAGGAAGCTCAATATTGTAAAAATAAAGGAATTTTTTTTTGTATTGGTAGAACTTAAATCATTAAGCAGATGTTATGTTGTTTCAATTATACATACAGATCAAAGAATCTCTATTGTAACCACAAGGATAGATTGGATATTACAGTATTTGTCAAAAAATAAACATCAAAAAAATGAACAAGTAAATTTAGACATTCAATGAATTTTCAAAATGCACACAAATACATATACTAGATAATTAAGCAACAAAGATACAAAGAGTCATGGACTGGTTTATAAAGTTTAAGTAATTATTATAATTTTAATTTACAACAGTAAATTAATGATTGATAAATCCCATTGTGATTGAAATGATAAATCCCATTGTGTGGACGAAAGCTAGAGAATAAATTCTATACAAGTAAGTCTTAGTGATGCTCTCATTTTGTTTTCTATTGATCTATAGCAGACTAACGCAGCTACACTTTTTATTCATCTTTAATCCTATAGTTACTCGCTAAGTAAATTAAACTGAAAATATAAGGAAGCTATATATCTATAAATGAATGTATTTGCATTCAAAATTATTGTTACAAATTAGTTTGACACTTCTATTAAAAGGACTTTGTTTTTAGTCCCCCAGGTGTTATGGGTTCTTAAGTACCACCATGCTGACAACGACAACGACGACTATGATGATGATGAATATGATGATGATGATGATGACGACTATGATGATGACGATGATAATGTTTTATATATGCGCTATAGAAAAACGGAATTATTATTATTATTATAGTGATCATGATGACGACGACCACGATGATGATGATTGAGATGTTGGTGATGACGGTGATGATGATGATTAGGGCGATTATGATGATGATGATGATGATGATGATGATGATGGCAATGATGATGATGATATCATGATGGTGATGATGACCATAATGGTGGTGATGATAATAATAATGATGACGACGACAATGATGATAATATAATGATGGTGATGTTGATGACGATGATGATGGTAATAATGATGAAGACGATGATCATTTTAATAAATAATCGTATTTGGTCGCCGAGGTTAAAAAAATAATAAAACTACTCTAACTCTATTATTATTTACGTCACATTTTACACATTTCACAACAACGACGACTATGATGATATGACTATGATGATAACGATTATTCTTTTT